TTTTTTGGACACCCATATTATGTTTAATCTCATAATCTCAGTCTGCAAGGTTTTTTTGTCCTTTTTGTTTTTTTTTTGTAAAAGCTTCACACTAAACACCACACTACTGGGATTACAGTTGCTGGGATAATTTTATCTTCATTTATTTCTTCTAGGATTTTTCATACATTTTTCTAACATATATCAAATATTGTTACTAAAGATTGGTAAAATTTATAGGTAAAAAAATTCTTTGCTCCAAAATTCTTAATTACCTGTACCATTATTTTCAGCATGCTGAGGCAGCTATTAGCTAGTTCCAGTCTCCTGCCTGAAGGGAATAAATTAACCTTCTCAAATTTCACTTCAGCTTTGATATGTTCATTTCCATTTCCTCATCCCTGTTAGCTACTCTGGCGTCACACCTGCTTTCTGATATTGTGTTATCCATAACAACATTTCCTTTGCCTGAGATCCCTCTCTTTCCCTAATCCCTCTGTTGGTTTTTCACAATTTGAAGGCCTTTCTTATCATTGAGCAAATTTAAGCATGGATGGACAGCATCCAAGGGACTCAGCTGAAATTTAAGAATCAAGAAAAATGCCTCTCTACTAATGTACTCCCATGGCAAAAAAACCTAAACTACCAACAACACCAAAAAACCAAACCAAAACAACCAACAAAACCCCCCTCGCTTTCCTTACAGTTCCAGTCCATGAACCACTTATTCACTGTCACTGTCTTGGGATGCTCCTTCTCACTCTGTCAAATTAACTTTCCTACAAAACCCACCACCCCCTACACCTCCACTTCTTTGAACTTCTTTTGGAGATTATTATAAGCCTGCTTGCTCTGGCCATAACTGATGCAGAATCTCCAGTCATGTGGGGGGATTCTGGTACCAATCTTGAATACAAATCTCTATTTACGTGCTTTATTCCTCCTCTGTTCCCCAGATTTCTCATCTCTTTCTCTTGTGATTCTGAGTGTCCTTCCCTTTTCCCTAAAATCACAACTTCTGACAGAATCTCCCCTTTGTTTTTGTATGAAATAAGACTTTTCCAACTCTGCCTAGTAGTGAAAGAAACAAAACCACAGCCTCCTTCCCTTTGTAATCATCAAGATTATGTTCTCCAGGCTTATTCTCCTCATACAGACTCCATATCCTCTTCTTTGGAAGCTGGCTGAAAATTTGAAATTATTTGTTTCTCCACGAATGACCAGTTATCCTCAACTTCCCTGCTTTCAGACGTTCTCCTCACCTAGATATACCAGTTGACATGTCCTCTTGAATTATTTCGTGTCTGCTGCCCACCCAAGAATAAATTAATCTTGCAATTCTTCAACTTTCTCAAGGAACTTCTCACTATTTGTTTACTTCCACTACTAGTCCAACAGAAGGTTGATTCTTCACTCCTAACTTTAAAAGCAGAAAGGCAGAACTCACTTCTGCTACCCCCTGACAAAAAACCCCCAAACATCTCTTTTCAGCCCACTGAAGAGAGCTGGGTTGCTCAGCTTTGGCCTTACATTTTCCAGCTTTTCACCAACATTAACCCTGTCTCATACTTTGGTGCAGGCTGGTCACGTGTTGCTCTGTTGAAAGGCAACAATTTTAATGTCCGCCCTCTTTTGGGAAACCTCTGTCCCAGAAAGAGCATAAAATGCCCAAAGATTAGAAGCTGCAAACAGAAGTCCGTCCACCAAGCAAACAAACTTGCTCACCTAGATTTCCAGTGAACATCTTCCTTACCCAGCAGAAATTACTTATTAAGTGCCATACCTTGTGCTCTGCTTGCCAGCTCCTTTGTTGCCAGGCTGCTCTCAGCGCCAAGCCCGTGGCTCCCAAGCAGCCGGCCAGCTCTGACTGCCAGCACGAGTTTCAGGCTGATGTCACTCCTCCACATCAGAATGCAAATCAGGCAGCGCTCACTCCATCATCCCTCACTGAGGGGGATGAATACAACTCCTTGGTTTTGCTCAGTAAAAAACAAGTACTGGTTTAACCAGTTAAAAACAAGGCCAGAAAAGGCACCGAGTACCTCTGGCTTCACCATGTCTTTGATCAGGAGGTACTCAGAGCAGGGGGCCCAAATTTTTGTTAGGATTCCTCTTGCCACCAACGTTCTTAAATAAGCCTTCATTCCAGTTGAGCTCTCCTGTCTCCATTCTGTTACACTCAGGCAACACTTCTACATGCCTTCTGGCCATCCATCCCCACCTCCATCTTCCCTCTGTGTTTGAGCTCAATCAGCAGTTACATGTTCATCCTTGCTGGCTTCCTACCATTTGTTTGCCTTCTTGCCTGTCGGGATGGACTACACTTGTGCTTGGAGGAGGCTGCCCTGGAAAATCAACCAGCCATCTGAGCCCCTGTGCCTGCCAAGACAGACTCCCGTGAGATCCTGCCAAGCAGATCCTTGAACAAGCCAAAACCAACCCTCCTGAAATTTAAGAAAAACCCAAGAACTTACATGCATATTTTGAAATACCATGTCTATTTCTGCCATAGTCCTCCTCCAAGAACCTGGAGATGCTTCCCTATGAAGGCTGAAGAAACCTGGGTTGAACTGCAGCACCTGTTGTCAAACTAGTCTCAAAAATAAAGTGCTCTGCTAAGTTACCAGTGTAAAAAGCAGTAGAGACAAAAGCTGAAGACCTTTGCAGGCTCTATCTGGCACCTACCCCATGGCTGCATTATTAAATGAAGTAACCATTCCTTTATTACTTCCAGTGCAGGGTGAGGTAATGTAAACTGCGTTGTGCCGACACTTGGGAACAATCAGTGTTCTGCTACTGAATGCTGACTCTGCAAACAAAAATTTTCAACAAAAAATCACTGGAGACTGCATGCTGGTTGTTTTGGTAAGGCACAAGACCACCATATTCTACCATCACTGTACAAAAAACTACAGATCATACTACATCTTATTAAGAATGTCAGACACGACTAGTGTCCAAGTAAGGCAACTGAGGCATCCAAAGTAGCAGCTAGAAAATGTCCATAATGACATGTATTCTCCAATCTACATGTTTCCTGACAGAGTACAAATGTAAAATGCAAGGAGGATGTACCTACAAAATCCAAACAAGCTACTAAGCAATTTCTTTGGATTTTTTCCTTCATTCTTTCTTCTAATGTCTGCTATTTCCTCCAGTCTCACTGTAGAAATAGCAATCATGGGCTGACATCTCTTGATAGAATTGAGGAAGAAAATCAAGTTATTGGCCTCAGGCCACAGTGAGCTAAGAATTCAGGTTGGAAGACCACAACAAGAAATTAAGGAAGCCTACTTCCACCTGAGCTGCTCATCTTTCCTTTCTCTGAATTCATCACAAGCAAACCAGGCAAGAGTCAGGCAGTCTTAGTGAGACCTCCTCCTTCAAGCCCAGTTAAGAGACAGTAAAAAACTGCTAAAAAAGCCCTTTAAGCAGCAACTTTTCAACTGGTTATCACTATCCCTGTTACTCAATAATCACATATCAGGCCTCAGAAAGTTTAATTCTAATTTAAAAACTGGGAAAAATAGAAAGCAGGTAGTAGGTTCAAGTTTCCAACCCATACTCAAGTCACACAGCTCTCAATAAAGCCTCTTTCATATAAGCTCATGGGACAGTGCAAAGCTTATCCAATGAATTACCTGATACTTCAGCCCTTTCAAAGCATAACTATTCCTAAATAGTTGTATGGTTCTGGTCTGATGGCCCTCTCCTAATCTGTCCTCCCTTGGCAAACCCTTCTATTCCCTTCCAGGACAGCTCTTCCTCTTCTGCTCTGCCACCTCTGGCAACGCACTTAATTCCACAGTTTGTAGCAGCCCCCAGAAGCTCTTCGTCCCTATTTTCACCTAGAGTTCCTACTTTCCTAAGTCCAGAGCTTCACTGTTGCTCTGTATTTGTACAGTCAATCCCTACAGTGAGTTCCTACCCTTGTATCTCTCCCACAAATGAGCCATTTCCCCAGAGATGTGTTTTCTAACATCACACCAGCTACCAAGAGCATTCAGCGACGTGAAGCACTGAACTCCTGAACTGCTAATCTTAGGTCAAAATGAGAGAATCGGTTGTGATAAATAAGGAAGACAAAGGGACAGATATGCATGATTTCTCTGCCGCAAATCCAGAAAAGATAAAACATCAAAGTGGAACTGGATCATCCTGAATGCCAACACAGACTAGAAAGGTGCTTATCTCTCAGTTGGGATGAATCTCTTTGCATGAAATTGAGGGAGGCTTCCTATATTACAACCTAGTACACATGCACAGCATGACTTCTCATGCAATCCTTGTTCTCCTCCTTCGTGCAAGAAACACATCAGCTTTAATTACTTTCTTTGAGCTGGCTTTGAATTTCAGTATCAATGGTTCCATCAGTTTCCCAGGTATTTGTTCCCACAAACTCCCCAGGCTGTTCCAAAGCTTGGAGAAAAAAAAAAAAATTAGTCTAAAATCAAGATTTTTTTAAAATGATACTTACACCTCTACAGCTTGTATGTGTTTTCATTATTACTTTTCATTTCAAAACACGAAAATTAAAACCTTACCTGAGAATAACACCTACATTCCCAACATCACTGCAAAAGCAAGTTCTATTAAAAACATTAAGAAAAAGCAACAGATAAAAAGATTTCCCTTTCTCCGAGTTACAAGAATAGTGACTCACTTTTCACAATCATTAATGCTTAATGAGTAATGCAATCTATCATACGACAATGGTTATTTAAAAAAAAATCAAATATGAATTATTCTTGATTATCACATAACTTAAAAGCCCTGTAATATGGAAGCTTATAAAGCAGAATGTAAAACTCAGGTTCTTTCAGCACGCACCACCCTTCTCTGTTCTTTGCTGGAATAGGATCTAACACCAAAAGTATCAGTCTACAACTGAGCTTTACCTACTACATAAACAAATCACTATGGGACAGGGTATTATTTGTCATGATACTGAAAGCTGGAACTACAGCGTATTATTTATCCAGCAATTTTGGTGTAAGGGGTGGTTTCTGAATTTGACGTACAATGGGACCATTTTAATGAGCGATCTGCTGAATGTGGAGAGTGCTCATCTCAGACTGCTCAGCGCAGGTGGTCGCCTTGGTCGTCTCCTTAACACGGTCACTCCTTAAGCTCCAGATTCTGTTCTGTGAACGAGGAGTCCCTGCGTCACGCTGTAAGAGTGAGGGGACAGTGACAGATAACACAAACACCACATTATTCCACACTGGGCCAATCTCTCTAGAATATAAATACTAACTTATCTTCACTGCAGGCAGTTGTTGGGCCCTGCCTGGGGACAGTCGGGCCTACACCAGCTGCAGGGGGAGCATGTGCCAGCCCTCGGCACGGGCAGAGTGACGGCCACAGCCATTTGGATCCCCCTGCACAATGTAAGCATCTCTGGCGCTCGCAGCACAGCCCTGATTCATACCGGCTGAGCTCAGAGTTTATTTTTAAAATACAGATACTAAGGGTCACTTTCTCCTTGCTTCAATTCACCACAAATATCTTTACAAGAAAAATCACATAGAATTATTTTGGGAATTCTGCCTTCATGCTTTTACTTCAGCATGATCTCTAAACAGAAAAATACCTCTGATCTTTTCTTTAAAGACATTAAACACAAACTCTGACATAACATCCTTTTAATCCTCCAGAAGGAGGCATATTTTATATACATATGAAGAAAGGCAGATGAACAATAAGGAAGCAGTTGCTCAAAAAACACTGATAGTACCTCAGGGGTAAAAATAACAGTGGTTATGAAAAAAAAACCCTAACCCTGAACACGTCTTGTAGTTTACCTTTTTCAAGTTTTTTTTTTGTTTTGTTTTGCTTTGCTTTATTTATCTTGATTCAAAGCCTTGGCACTTGTTGGGTTAGAAGGCATATGCCATATAAGTGTCTGTGGCCATCTGTGCAACGACCTCACAAAGCAAAATATTTTAACTGACTTTTGAAAACAAAGAAATTTTTGCTATCAAAACCAATTTTGGTAAAAGCTGAATCAATCTTTATGTTAATGGTATTTCTGCAGCTGGTCCTCTTTGAGCATATTTCCTATTTTTTCAAATGAAAGCTACTCTTGTATTAATTAAAAACTAAAGCATATTGGAAAAAAGAGTAAGGAACATACACTGGATTCCTGACATTGCTGAGTAATTATGGACAAACATGCTGAGGTGTACTCTTTAGTAAAAATCAACACACCACAACAATTACCCCCAACAGAACAAACAGCCTTCACAGGATCTTCAAAACTGCAAAAATGACAACATTTGATTTCTCATTACTTTAGAAGAACTTATCATAGAATGCCACTGGAAGTAAACATCAAACCTTCAATATAGATATACTAAAGCTTAATATGTGCATATGATAGAAGACCCACAATAAAATGAAAGCTTTTATTTGAAAGAGGAGGGTGGTCAAGGACATGGAACAAAGACTTGATACGTGCAAAGTATTTCAGCAATCTGTGGAAAACAGCCTACAGCTGGAGGGTCAGCGTGCGAGACCAGGATGGCCACTGAGTCACATCCTGAGTGGGACGAGCGTAGCTCTGTCTTATTCCATCGATAGCAAGGATGCAACGTGGCGAGCGCCGCTCTGCGTGACTCAAGCCCTTTATGGCAGCTTTGCACCAGCCATGAGTCTGGGTTCAGTTCCTGGAAATTATGTCCCTGCCACGACGAAGTAAGAACCTGCACTGAGTGTGCTGGGGCTTTGTACCCTGCGGAGCAAGGCTGCGGCATCACAGCTCTTGGAAGAGCTTCCTGCACACCTCCCATCAGAGGTACTGCAGGTCCAGAGACTCCGTGAGCTGGAGCTTTTACAACACAACCTGCAGTGTGTTGCACTGCAATGAAAATGGTGGCATAATTCTAAACCTGTGACATGTTCAATTACTTTATTAACTAGAATTAGGGTAATTAATTTCAATAGTATGAAATAATTGCATGGTTTTGGCTTTCTAAAGAGTAAGTTCTTGTATGAGATATGGAGTCTTGGCTTCCCCTTTCTTTTTTAGGTGAAGGCATGGGATTTTTCCTACAGGGAAGAAATCTGGAACAGACATTAGATATACAAGCAGGGAATAAAAAACAGCAATCACAACAACACATAAGCTATCACGACCCTGGAAATCTTATTACCCTTTTGCTCTTATCAGCAGGTTCTAAATTCACAGCTAAAGTACAGTCAGTTCAAAACTGTACTCCCCTCTTTAAATTGGATTTTCATGTGTAACTGTCACGTCATACTTATGTTTGGATGCATCCAAAGAGTTCAAATGAAAAAAAAATGTGGTTTTCCAGGTAGTGCTGTGAGATACTATATTTTCATCTTTTCAGAGAACAAGTAACATGTTAGTTACAGCCCACAGTACAGAAAATCAAGATAGACTGTTTGTTTTGACTTGTGGATGTTAGTCCTTTGAGAACCTCTAGTCTCATTTCTTGTAAATTTACTTTCTCCTGAACAAAGCCAAAGACTGCAGGAAAGGCAACCACAGTGAGGGAAGAAACAGGCGTGTTTCCTTTAAGATTATATCAATGGGTGGAGAGATCCACTACAATCCTTAAAATGAAACTGCTGCTCTTTCCAGTGTGAAAAGATTCCCCTGCTGAGAGAGGCTGCTTGTAACTTAGAGCCAGTGTAAACCAACACTGCCATCAAAGATGAGGCTCTGGCCTCCACCCATTCCTGACCAGCACTCCCGCATCATTGCCACTACCTTCCCATACTCAATATTAGAATTTGTGAGGCTTCATAGAGAACCAGGCTGAGAAAAAGATTTGGGTTAAAACTTGAACTTATTTTCTTTTTACTTGGGATTGATTTTACCCCACATCAGTTCCTCAGTGCAGTTTGTGCTGGCTTGATGCGAGGTACAAGAGATAAGCACAACTGGCTTGGGGTTGGCCAAGGTGCTCCTTCTTCCCTCTCAGAAATGCAGCTTAAGCTCATCAAACTGTACTGTTGCAGAAAATGCCTCCATTGGGCTCAAGTGTCCAACTGCTACACCGTACCTGGAAATATCTGGAGTCAAGTCATCAAGTCCTTACTGGCCTTTGCAAAAGAACCTGAAAAAACAACCCCAAATATAAAATTAAGCCTAAATATATTATATATGCGGCCCAAAGCAATTTCTGAGTGCACATATGCAACTAACTTGCATCACATCACATAAAACAATCTGTGCCTGTGTTTCTCCCATATTTCTCTTAAGGGTGAGTAGTGAGCTTGTAAAACTTTCCCCTACTCATCTTAGACCTGAAAACAGTAGTATAGGATAACAATATAGCGGCCTTTTACTCTCTTGCAGAGAAATTGGCTATGAATTATGATCTGAAATATCTGAGAGATTTTTTTGTTTAAAACAACAGCTTCCAAAGTCGTGACAAATTGTTATAACCTGGATACATAGCAATCCAGCTACTACAGAAGAGAGGTCAGATCCCTTGATCTGCTGCATGCACGGTGGTCACAAACCAAACTCTTCTATACTAGTTCTGTGTGCAGTGCTCACTAGAAAGAGAAGTTCCATGGTTGTAAACTTCCTTTGAAGAAAAGGAAGCAAAGCTCAGAAGTAAGCCTAGATGGCCGAAGCCTTGCCACCTGTGTCTGTATTGACTTATTTACCATAATCACTATTCAAAAGTAGAAAACTGGTTTGCAGTTTGATTTTCTGTGTATTGAACCCATATATGCCGCTTCCTAGAACCAGAGAACGCTAAAATTCAGTTCCTTCCCTGGCCTGTGAAGTATTGTTCTCTGCTGTAAACATTTCAGAAAAGAAAAATTTATCTGAATCTATGTACCCAAAAGCATTTTTCCTCCAAAAGCTCTGCAGGAAAGAGTTTAGAGTATTAGAGAAACTGGTGTTGTAATACAGAATAAAAATTTAGAAAAACAGTATTAATTTTCTTGATATATATATATATATATACATACATATCAAAGGACAGAAAGCAATCAGGCTTTCCTGACACCTTTTTGCTTCTTGAGCCCTCTTGGGCTCATGAATATAATCAAAGATCCTCATCAGCTGCCTTTCAGAAAAACTCTCAATTGCAGGAATGACTGATATAGCTGTTTTTGTGTTTACTGGACACTGCCAGCTTTATAAAAATTGTCTGTTGTGATATCGATTCTTCAGAGCTTGTGCCCTCCTTTAGAACAGATGCCATTTAAGATCTGCACTCAAAGGGATATCAGAAAACTCTAAGTAGCCTTCAAAACCACAATAAAGAAACCTTCCATCAAGCTGATGGCCTAATGAAGAGAAGAAAAAGAACTCCCTCAAGTGGAGAAGTTTTTAAAAGAAGCTTTCTTTAGCTCTGTTTCTGCCAAAAAAGTGCATATTAGAAATCTGAACATTTAAAGTCTGTAATGATCTCTGCATGAGTACACAACCTCAGGGCTTCATAGTTCAGCAAGGTCAGTGTCCTCTTGCAGGACTTGGGAGGTAGGAATAGACAGATTAGACGTCCCCAAGCACCACCCCTGATCTCTCGTTCTAGGTAGAATAAGGTCTCCCCAGACACTGTCCACGAATGTGAGAAAAGGGCACCAACTCAGAAGGGACATTTTAATTTTGATTAAAGCTGAAATACAGCATTAGCTCCTCAAGCAGAGCCTGCAGAGTTGGCAGCAGGAATGTAATCTTTGCCACATGCAAACAGAGAAGCTGGGTCTCTCTGAATTACCTGTGTGATAGCCTGCAAAAATAATTCCAGTTTCTGTGGATTTAGGTGGACTGACTATAACAGAAAGATAATGCAATAATAATTTTTATTGCAGGTATTTGTTCTCCTTCTGCCTGCAAGCAGCTATCCACTCTCTGCTATATCTCCTTAATATAACTCTAATAAGATGGAAACTAGCTTAAGAAAATTAATATTTTATATGAATTTCACCAGTTTCCAACAGCTAATAACCAAGAACAGGTATTCCTCACTCAGCAGCATTGATTCTAGGTAAAAAGCACTTTGGCTTAACATCAGATGCGCTTTCCAATTTTACCAGCTTCTTTGCTGTGTGGAACACGAGCATCTCACAAAGTCTGTTATCTTCCAACATACAACAATAGGTT